GTCCAATAAATGAAATGCCCTGTTTTGAGTTTTGTGTTGGAAATGTGATGGTGCTGTAAAAAAGATGTGAAGAGGTGGTTATTCTGTTTAAGTACCTATAGGATCTTATATGGAATCTTAATAAGATTCTTATAAGAATTGGTGTAAGATTTTTTGAGAAATTTCCTTGTAGGAATCTTATAAGAATCGTATAAGAATCTTGTAAGAATCTTATAGGATACCTGTAAGAATCCTGTAAGAATCTTGTAAGAATCTTATAAAAATCTTACAAGAATCTTATTAAGATTTTTATAAGATTTTGGGTGAGATTCTCTTAAGATTCTTATTAAAAATCTTAGTAAGATCTTGCTAGGAATCTTATAAGATTTGGTAAGAACCTTAATAAAATCCTTGTAAGAATCTTGTAAGAATATTGTAAGAATCTTACAAGAATCTTACAAGAATCTTGATAAGATCTATCATAAGAATCTTGCTAAGATCCTATTAAGATTCCTATCAAGATTCCTATTAAGAATCCTAATAAGACTTCTACCTGGAAAACTTTGTTATGCAACCTCACATTCAAGACTAGGATTGTTTTTGTTAAATTTTCCCTTCCTACTTTCATCGACCTTCTTTTTTTCCTATACTCCTTCATGTAAGCATTCTGCTTGGTTTTTTGCACTTGCTTCATCAGCCTTCTTTTTCTCCCTATACTCCCTCATGTAAGCATTGTGGTTCCTTTCCACAACATATTTTATCAGCCTTCTTTTCAGTGTTCTGATTGTTAATGGTAGAAATTTGTATTTCAGCCCCACATTCAAGACTAGGAATATTTTCATTTGGCATCTTCTTCTTTTTCCTATATTCACTCATGTTAGCATCACATTTCTTATTTGGACTGTTATGTGATTTTTCAGAGAAAACATTTTGTTCTGTGATTATCACCATGCTGAGTTTCTAATGAGTCAGAAAGTTACCGGTACATGTATATGGCACTGTTGATACATAATGTACTTCCTTTACATGACCTAAATATATCATTGCAGGTGGCTGTTTAGGCTCTATCAAACTTGTGTGAGCAAAATTTTCATGGGATTCTACAATATGAATTCACAAATTTTGTGACTCTGCAACTTCTTGCACAATGATGACATTACACCATGAACCTTGTAGTGACATATTTGTCAAATATTCATTCCATGAATTCTGGGTATTGCTTTCAATAAAACGCTATGGGTTTTCCCTTAGGTAATGAATACCAGCTTATCTAATATACCAGTGATGACTTGGATCACCATATAACTGATGTGAAACAGCTCTGAAAAAACAGTCACCTGCACCGCCAACATCTAGGGGTCTCAATCCCAGCTTACGTAATCGAAAGCTTAACAACATGGTGGAACCTACTGACAATGTAGTTTGACAGTTGACACCTTGTTGAGGGCCTGGATTTAGTTCAATATCACCTGATGTCGAGAGCTTCATTCTTGACACACAAAATCTTTCAGTGTGGCTACTTGATTTTGTTGTTTGTTGTTAGCTAAAGAAAGATTACTTGCTCGTTTGCTTTTTCTTAACAACTTGTTTGCGGTTACTCTGTTTAGATTCACGAAGTTGGAGAAAAAACAGTCAGATCTGTTTAGGTACCTTACATACCAGAACTTATAGTCAGTAGCTAAGCTGTAAAATCTGCAAGATTTAGGAGTAGATTTCGTCATTATAACATTCAATTTGCATCTAGCTTTTCTCTTTTTCCTGGACCTTAAAATCGTCCTCACCGATAATCTGGACAGCTCTCGCTCTCTGCGTCGTTTCATTTGTTTAACTATTTCTAAATATCTATCACGATCTCTCGCACTTAAATCTAAAGAAGATCCAACAGCAATGCCGGTCATATTTGGATTGGGTGATTTCATAAAATAAACGCTTACAAAATTTTCAAACGGATTACTACAGCTAGCATGACTTAGTTCATATAAAAACGCCATAGCTTTCGTAGATGTTTAATCAATCGAAGATGTTTTCACTTCAAGAGCAAATAACACCTATTTAATCCCACGACGGGTTTCGTAATCCCCAAAAGGAGCTTAACTCTCCCCAAACGGGACTCAAAAATCCCCAAAAGGGGCTCAATTTTCCCCAAAAGAGTCTCAACTTTCCTCAAACGAGGCTCAATAACTCCCTCAAAGGGCTCTTTTTTCCCCAAATGGAGCTGATGAAGCTTAATTTCGTTCCTTCCAAGCACCTAAATCATCAATGTCAACCTTGCAGCGTGGCCATTCTGTTGGCGCCGAGAGCATTGCTCCAAGACTTGCAAACATCTTTTAAAGCCTTTCATTCGGCTGCATTAACCTGCACTACGAAAGCTGTGGCATATTGAGAAGGAACCTTCAAATAAATTCATCATAAAAGATAGAAAAGCTACAGTTCACTCACCGTAATCATTCCAGAACCTGATGTTTCCGCTGCTAGATGCCGCTTCGGTAAAAGTACATGGACGAAGCTCCGAGACGAGGTGTCACTGTTGCGTTCTGGAATTGTCGTGTGCTCGTACTCGAATGCAATTGGTGCCGAATATCTCTTGCGTGATCGTGCAATTCCAAACTCGGGACGATTGTATATCGACATCGTTACTTACACATTACGCGAGTTACGCATTTGCTCTTCGATTCATATAACGAGTCACCTCAGGAAAGCGTACTCCGACATCCGTCATCTCGCGTATCTCGCACCCGATGTTTTCTTTCCTGTTTTCTTCGTCATCTAAGATTACCCAGAATCCCTTTTTGCGCCATGAAACCAAAAAAGGTTAACTTGTAGGCGTGTTGGGGGAGTGTTAATGGGGTTTATTTGATTGGTTGTTTTTGATCTGCGTAGATTCGCCCAAGAAACATGGACTTACTTTTAAAAACTCAAAGACAATTTCCCGCATGAGTGTCGTGTAGAACAATTACAAGAGTTAAAACAAGTTTGCAAAAATTGAGTGTCATGTAGAACAGTTACAAGAGTTAAAACAAGTTTGCAAAAATTGAGAGGAAATACGCTCAAACTTGAAAGGACTGTGATAGCAAGATGTCAGATTCTCCAAGGAGTTGGGTGGATGGAGTAACTCTTACCGATAGCGTAAAAGAAAAAATCAGAGCCAAGCACATGCGCCCAGGAATACAGGGGAAAAGCCTTTTCTTTTCGTCTGACGAAAGCGTCGTCTGGAATCTGGTTAAAGCTACGCTTATACAACCTGATGTTTTGAAGCCTCACAGCTCTAATTATAAGAAGGTGGTTCTACAGAGACGATTTTCGTCAAAAGTTGGCAATCTTGGATGTGATGGAGCTGAGTGTTTTTGTGTGACCGTCATCTTCCACAAGGTGGATCAAAGAATCATAACTGCCTATCCCACATGATGAATGAACAAAACCTTTTTTACACTCCATTGGACACGAATTGGTTTTCATCGGTTCGCAAATAATTGTAATAACAGTAATATATAGATTTAGCCAAGCCTAAAAGCGGAGCTCTTATTAGTTTATTTTCCAGCCCTACGTTACACAGAATAAAAACTGTAATAAAACTATCTACTGGTAAGTCTTTGTATTATATTTCAACCCAACCATTTCAAGATGTACAATGACAGGTTCAAGAAATTTTTACAACTAATTTTTAAGGTAAGCCTACCTGGAGCAATCATCTTGAACTGATGATGCCCAACAGAACTATCAGTGGTAAGAGGGCAGGCTTTCCTTCCTTCATTGAAAGAAATAATGATGTTATCATCTTTCCACAAGCTCAGTGGAAAGTGAGAGTGAATGAGACTGATAGTCTCTTTGTAACTTAAATAAATATCCAGAGCCAGGATAAAAAGTCAGACATGGTCTGTAAAAACTCTCTTACTTTACTTTTTTAACCAATTAAGCTAAAGCTTTACATTCTTGCTTTGTGATTATGTGGATGCCAATTACTGGTAATTTAACTTTTATGCATCAAAATACAAAAAAATGTTCTCTTCATCTATGTGCCCTGAACATTACAGGGGAGGAGGCAGGTTAAATTAAAAACATGAATTAAAATAAGAGGGCCCCCATTAATTTCAGTCCTAATTAAAGGAGGATCCTTGTTTTTCTAGATTCCCACCCTTTTCAACTCACATATCTTGTGACCAATTCCTTATTTCAATGTTCAGTTTGGGTAGGACCATTGGTAAGAAACACCATGCATTAATGAAAGCTTGAGCTAGTGTATTTAATGCAATCTAAATAATTACATGTTACAGTATGGTAACCAACACAGCAAAATTATATAATCACCTAATTTCAAACAAAGGAAGTCAGGTTATTGACTTGCCTGCTTCAACTTTTGAGGGCTTATGGTACAGAGAATTAAGACAATAAACAGCTACAATTAATACAAAGTTGAAAATTTGAAGATAAGTGATGAGAATAAAGAAAAATATAAACTTGAGAATAATTAGTTGATCCAATACTAAATTCTTAGAACTAACATTATAAGAATTGTATAGTTGACAGTAAGGAGAATTACAAATTTGAACTGGGAGTTAAGGGGTTAAATTTTATTTGATCAAAAACATGAATGGCAATAGAGGAAATTAACTAGCACAATTCAAGTTTCTCCTCTTTAAGTATTCTGTGATGTTTTTCTATCACATGGTAAAGTTTACAGTTCCCCTCATTTCACTGTCTTCTGTTCACTTGTTTGTTTGCTTTCCTAACAATCTTAGCTATTGTTGCCAACAAATGCGAGGAGCATATACATGAAAATGTGTACAGTTAATAACACTTTAATCCCTGAGAATGACTAGCATCTAATTTCTCCATTCAATATCACCCCTGAGTCACACATTAAGGTCAGGAGAATAAAGGAAATGATAATCAATTGAAGAACCTCTTGATTGTTGAACAATTCTCCTTGCCAGCACATAAGGAAATATATAGAGAACAGTTTGGAGAATATGCATTTTGATATTGGAGTGTAAAGAGTTAAAGACATCATGTAATCAGTTATATATATATATGTAGAGTACTGCTTGAATATATGATTGCATTAAATACAAATGCCAAGTAAACATCATTCTGTGGTCTTCTACTCTTCCACCCTGAAGGTTGCCTTGTGTAACAAAAAAAAACCTTTTTAAAGACACCTCAACAATGGTAGATACACACAACTGATATGTATGAGTGAAGCATGTCAAGCATTAAGGCATGATTGTCAATTTGCCTTTTATTACTTGCAAACAGCTTACTTCTATCAGCCTTTAAAACTTCTGTATCCCCACTTTCAAAGAAAAACATTTCCCATGAAAATTTAAGCATTGAAGACATAAGCTACTAGCAACAGGTTTTTCCATTGCAAGTGTTTCATATCATCAGATTCTCATCACATTTTTTTGTTACTGGTACATTTGAAAGCATGAGAATATTTTAATCATTACAATATGTTGAAATCCCCTATTTTAACCCTTTAACTCCCATAAGCGACCAAGAAAGAATTTCTCCTTACAATATCAAAACAATATCAAGCAAGCAAGTGATGAGAATAAGAAGAATTTCAGTTAGGGGATTATAAGATGATCCAATACTAAATTCTCCAAACTAACATCACAAGAACTGTATAGGAGATAGTAAGGAGAATTACTAATGAGATCTTGGGAGTTAAAGGGTTAAGTCCCACTGTTAACCTAGACAGAATTTCTCCTTATACTATCAGCATGACATAGAGCAGACAAGTAACAAGAATTAAGACAAATATCAATTTGAGGATTATTGGTTGATCCAATTCCAAATTCTCAAATTTAACATCACATAAATTGTATGGCAGACAGTAAGGAGGACTACTCATGAAATTTTGGGAGTTAAAGGGTTGAGACACATATGATAATTATGTGTTACAGAAAGACAGCAAATAAATATAACAGTAAACGCCAGTAAAGTGTTCTTATGTAGCATGAAGTTTCAAACTCATTGAAATTAAGTTGACTTCATAATTCATATTTTAGTTAAAGAAATGTGCAATATCTCTTTACAAGGATGAAAAGGGAATGCCATTTATGAATTTTAAAATAGTAAATGCCAAAAACAAAAAGATGGAATTTAAAAAACTACTAAAATATAGCATATCTATTCACTGAGGTTTTAATCATTAGCTGTCAAACAGAGGTATAAAATAGGGTTTCTGAAAAAAACCAGGGGAATAAAATTAAAGATTCAGCAGAAGCATATGATTTTAACTTGTTTACTGATATTCTCACCTGAATTCCATCTGGAATGAGAACTCTGCAAGACTTCTGTTTCATCTTGAATTCAAACATAAAATTCAATTATTCGCAAGCAGGTTAAGGAGGAAATTAAAGGATGGATACATGTTACATAAAAAGAAACCCCTTACAATAAAATAAAGCAGAAGCATATTGTATACATGTCTATGCTTCTGAATACAGCTATAATAAGTATTTTTTAAGTAATTATCTACATATGTCAACCGAGTGCAATATATGGTCATAAAAGCAATTTTATTCTAACCTTCCTACTTGAATGGAGGCTTGTGTATAAAATATATCAAGTTCAGTACCTCCAGAGTCACAAGCCGGGCTTTTGGGGCAACAAAATAATAAAATAATCATCGAGTTATGTCAGGCCAATTTATCGAGAGTTAATTAGGTATAGTTTCCTACAATCGTATGAAAGTTTCAAATGTGCTCCACTCGTGCTATATATATGGGTTTGTCGTTCTTAATTACTACTGAAAACCGAGGGTGTGACTCAATTACTCAGAGAGAGAATATCCAAGTAGGTTACAGAAACGGTTCGCGAATTGTAAACTGTTAGTAAGTTGACAAAATTTCCCTAAATTATGGTGCCGATACGAATCTATCATTCATAATCGCTTATGAAATTCCGAGACTAAACCTCAATGAATTTAACAGAAAATATCCAGGAAGATTACAGAAACAGACTCAAAAACTGCTCTTGAATTCGATAACTGT